TCCTGGGTGCTGGGTGGTCCTCCTGCGTGCTGGGTGGTCCTCCTGCGTGCTGGGTGGCCCCTCCTGGGTGCTGGGTAGTCCTCCTGGGTGCTGGGTGGTCCTCCTGGGTGCTGGGTGGTCCTCCTGGGTGCTGGGTGGTCCTCCTGGTGCTGGGTGGCCCTCCTGGGTGCTGGGTGGCCCTCCTGGGTGCTGGGTGGCCCTCCTGGGTGCTGGGTGGCCCTCCTGGGTGATGGGTGGTCCTCCTGGGTGCTGGGTGGTCCTCCTGGGTGCTGGGTGGTCCTCCTGGGTGCTGGGTGGCCCTCCTGGGTGCTGGGTGGCCCTCCTGGGTGCTGGGTGGCCCTCCTGGGTGCTGGGTGGCCCTCCTGGTGCTGGGTGGCCCTCCTGGGTGCTGGGTGGCCCTCCTGGGTGCTGGGTGGCCCTCCTGGGTGCTGTGTGGCCCTCCTGGGTGCAGGGGGGTCGAACGTGACGAGGGTGTGAATGGAGTCCGTCTTCCATGGAATATCAATGGCCCAAAACTTCACTCGGGGAACAAAAATTAATTTCTATTCGTCAACTATACGAGGATTTTTGACTAGTCTGACACAGTTTGTTCTATCACGTGACCTGGTACTGCTCTCCTATTGGTCAGATACAAGCGTGTTTATATCACGTGACCTGGTACTGCTCTCCTATTGGTCAGATACAAGCGTGTTTATATCACGTGACCTGGTACTGCTCTCCTATTGGTCAGATACAAGCGTGTTTATATCACGTGACCTGGTACTGCTCTCCTATTGGTCAGATACAAGCGTGTTTATATCACGTGACCTGGTACTGCTCTCCTATTGGTCAGATACAAGCGTGTTTATATCACGTGACCTGGTACTGCTCTCCTATTGGTCAGATACAAGCGTGTTTATATCACGTGACCTGGTACTGCTCTCCTATTGGTCAGATATACAAGCGTGTTTATATCACGTGACCTGGTACTGCTCTCCTATTGGTCAGATACAAGCGTGTTTATATCATGTGACCTGGTACTGCTCTCCTATTGGTCAGATACAAGCGTGTTTATATCACGTGACCTGGTACTGCTCTCCTATTGGTCAGATACAAGCGTGTTTATATCACGTGACCTGGTACTGCTCTCCTATTGGTCAGATACAAGCGTGTTTATATCATGTGACCTGGTACTGCTCTCCTATTGGTCAGATACAAGCGTGTTTATATCACGTGACCTGGTACTGCTCTCCTATTGGTCAGATACAAGCGTGTTTATATCATGTGACCTGGTACTGCTCTCCTATTGGTCAGATACAAGCGTGTTTATATCACGTGACCTGGTACTGCTCTCCTATTGGTCAGATACAAGCGTGTTTATATCATGTGACCTGGTACTGCTCTCCTGTTGGTCAGATACAAGCGTGTTTATATCATGTGACCTGGTACTGCTCTCCTATTGGTCAGATACAAGCGTGTTTATATCATGTGACCTGGTACTGCTCTCCTATTGGTCAGATACAAGCATGTTTATATCACGTGACCTGGTACTGCTCTCCTATTGGTCAGATACAAGCGTGTTTATATCACGTGACCTGGTACTGCTCTCCTATTGGTCAGATACAAGCGTGTTTATATCATGTGACCTGGTACTGCTCTCCTATTGGTCAGATACAAGTGTGTTTATATTATGTGATTCGCAATTACTTCCCTACTAAATATAGTTAGAGTCCGGATTCACTACAGCACTTACGTGTTGCGTTACGATATGTGAACATCTTAACTCAATCATGAGAAGCGTAGTCGGTATTCACTAAAGAGTACACAAGCTCTGAAGGGCTACGAGGTCGCAAGCATCCTCACCACTATGCAGTCCATACATAAGGTCCACTCTACTATACAACCCTCTGCCACTACGATCTCTTCGTCACGTCCGTCTGAGAATCGCTCTTAACACGTAATATGTAGTTTGTGAACAAATCCACAAGGGCCGTGACGAGGATTCGAACCTGCGTCCGGGAGCATCACAGACACTGCCTTAATCGACTGAGCTACGACAGCGTTTACTGAGCTTTTTAACCCTGTCGTAGCTCAGTCGATTAAGGCAGTGTCTGGGATGCTCCCGGACGCAGGTTCGAATCCTCGTCACGGCCCTTGTGGATTTGTTCATTTGATGCATCACGTTAGTGTGATCTCTGTGTGTAATGTATTTTGTGAACCTAATAGTTTACGATATCACATTATTATTAAAGTGTTCAGCACTATTACGAAGACACACTGGAGAACAATGTTCATAACAGCTCAATAACATTGTTGCAGGGTTGTTATCGCTTCAGAAACTATTCGGGGACAATTATGTCATAGCAAATAACAGTTTGAAGCTTACACGAGGCTGTAAGTGAGTCAATAACAGTAAACCTAACTTGTATTGACATTAGGAGCCAACGTCTTATGTTACACATGAGAGCATGTGAGCACTCTTTACATATGTGGCAAGACCATAGGTGCTTCTACACCAGCGGCTGTGTTATGGTGTACTAAGTGTCAGCACCCCAGATCTCTCTCTGTGTCTTCCTGTTAGTCTGTGTGTGTCTGCTGTCTCTCTGTCTCTCTGTCTCTCTGTCTCTGTCTCTGTCTCTGTCTCTGTCTCTGTCTCTGTGTCTCTCTGTCTCTCTGTCTCTCTGTCTCTCTCTCTCTCTCTCTCTCTCTCTCTCTCTCTCTCTCTCTCTCTCTCTCTCTCTCTCTCTCTCTCTCCTCTCCCTCTCCTCCTCTCTCTCTCTCTCCTCCTCTCTCTCTCTCTCTCTCTCTCTCTCTCCCTCTCTCTCTCTCTGTGAGAGACAGACACTGGTATAGCTACATATGCTTGGCTGAAATCCCTCAGTCGCTAGCCAAACCTCTATATCCCCCCCCCCCTTCTTGAAGTCAGTAGTTCACTATTTCAGTTAATTACAGGCTAAGAACGGTGGTTAGGTTTATTAAACTTTACAGACATTAGTGTATAAATGTTCTATACTATAGAAAGAAAAAATATTAGACAGAAAAAAATCGAATTAAAAAATCCAATTTATTATGATATAGCAAAAGTTTTTGGCAAGAGGGGGGGAGGGGGAGCCGTGGCACTCTGTCTCAATAGTCACTCATTCCATGTACAAGAACACTGACCTGGTCATGTTGTGCATCTTCCCAACACCAATTACTGTGGAAAATTGGGTGAGTGTAACCCCAAAGGTTTGACCTCCAGCCTCGGACAGACAAATTTGAAATTTATATAGATTCGGAAATGTGTCGACATGGTTCAATACGCGCATCTGAGAGCACAAAGACACAAGACGAGCAATGTTAAAGGAGACGTCGCTGACTGAATCAAAGGGACATCACTCAAAGGGACAATGATAAAGTAAAATGTCTTATCGTGAAAATCTGGACATTGCATTAGGAGATGAGCGACTGAGAGCGTGACAATGCTGCTCTGACGGGAAGACCCAGGTTCTGTACCGTTAAGTACCCCATGCTTACTCTTGTAACCATGGGTAGATAGATGTCCATGGGTTTAAAATGTCTAGCGACGTTTTAAACCCATGAGAGGACGGCCACGGGGGACACGTCACACTTACCAGGACGTAATTTGTAATTAAGGATTATACCTGCGGTATATCTGGAGAAAATTTGAGATTTTCCTACTCCCCAGACCCGGCCCAAGGCTCAGGCTGCCCGTGTGGGTACTCAGTCCAAAAGGCTGTTGCTTGGAGCGGGCCCCAAAAGCCCACTTATTCAACTTCTCTCTCTCTCTCCAACAGTCTTTTGACGACGTACAACGTATCACTGTTATCGTGGGAATGATATCAGGGCGGCCTGAAGCCTATTGGGTGGTCGTACCTGTGTGGACTCTACTGTGGGGATATCTTTTAAGTGTATAAATTGAGCAGGTGTGCCTGTGTGGCACCTGTTAGGAGACTTCTCACACACTCAAGTCTGGACTGGAAGAAGTATTTAGTGGCAGTCCAAGACGTTTAGTGGACGACCTGGCGTCGTGGCATTCAGCCTTCTGTGGTAAGGCTCATTATACTGTAATATATTGCTTGTTATTATTTGATCGTGTGCCCGGCGATCGTATAGGACGTTTGTGAATGTACGTTAGAGAGTTTATAAAAATATTGAAAAGATATAATGAGTTTGAGATGATTTGACATTATGGAGGCGGGAGCGACACATGCTCACTCGCCTGAGATCAGTGGTTGACTGAGGAGGAAAGAGTTCTGGTGCCCGGTGGAGGAGAATTTCAGTGTGGACTCGTCCAGCGTGGGGGAGTACCCACCGCAGTAGGACCGGCGCGCGGAGTAGGACGTCGGATGGTGAAATTAAATGCTAGTTTGTGGGACATGATGATAATATACTATTATTTCTTTATTCTTTGTATTTTTGTTAAAATAAAAAAAATCTAAATGTTTGTATGTAGACAATTTGCCTTTGTACTCGACCAGGTGAGCAATTTGTAGAAAGAGAGAGAAACAGTTGCAGATTGACCGACAGCGGATATAACGTTATGAAGGGGAACTAAAAGGAGGTCGTCCCAAGGAGAGAGTAAGTCACGGTGGCTCAGCAGGGTGTACTCATGACAAATAGGCCAGAGTTGAGCCCATTCCCCAGATAAGGTGACGTTGAGCCCCTCCTCCACACGTAAGACAAATACAGGGAGACTCCAGTGTCCATTGATTGACAGCAGCAGTGAATACTGTCATTATACAATATTTCATCAGAGGACGGGGGGGGGGGGGCAGGAAGGGGTTGTCATGGCAGGGGGAGCCGAGCGGACAGCACGCTGGACTTGTGATCCTGTGGTCCCCAGTTCGATCCCGGGCGCTGGCGAGAAACAAATGGGCAGAGTTTCTTTCATCCTATGCTCCTGTTACCGAGCAGTAAAATAGGTACCTGAGTGTTAGTCAGCTGTCACGGGCTGCTTCCTGGGGGTGTGGAGGCCTGGTCGAGGACCGGGCCGCGGGGACACTAAAAAGCCCCGAAATCTTCTCAAGATAACCTCAAGATGGAAGATATAAAAGTTAACTCCCCTCCGCTGATACAACCCGCCAAAACTTGCGTCATATATCTACTACAGATGAAGAACATCAATACAGGATTACGATCAGCACGTGAGGGGTTAAGAGACACCAGAGACCACAAGAGTAGAGTTAAAGTCGACTACAATAACAATAAAGACTTGTCGTTTAAATATCCACAATTATATTTACCTATGCAACTTTACCTATAACATTACTAACTCTTGATATAACACAACGTAACACAAATTTTGTTTCTAGGCAGAAAGTGTTTTGGCAAATTTTTTATGCCCAAAAAATTATAGAAAATGGATATTATTTCCCCCCCTCAAAATTTGCTTTTGTGGCCAGAACTGTGGTATTTTGAAGTTGACCTGTTTCCTACAAGAAATCAAGTGAATTTGCATCTTTTCCTTTACATGAATTCAGAAAAATATATAAATAAACATACTGTATATTTATACTAAAGTTATACAAAAATTACCACAAAAGATTATAGAGTACTTTTTCAAGATTAACAATTATTTTGTCTTCGTAGTGAGTTCCTTGCTTTCCAGGATCTTGACCACACCACACACACTAGAAAGTGAAGGGACGACGACGTTTCGGTCCGTCCAAGACCGAAACGTCGATTGTCCTGGACCTGGACCATTCTCAAGTCGATTGTCTTGAGAATGGTCCAGGACCTTCTTTCCAGGATCTTCTAAATTTATCTGAGGTCTGGAGAAAACATCGGCTTTGGCCCTTGCCAAAAACAGCTTAGGGAAGAGGTATTGAAGGTACTTGAAGGCTGCCAACCCTAATCATGAGACGTGACCAATTGTTTCCTAAGGCCCAATTTAATGTGTAGTTGTGGCATCAGCACCTTCCGGGAAGGGCGGACGCGGAAGGAAAGGTTCGTCAGTGGCTCCCACTTGACATTGTTCATCCACAAACAATCAACAATCAAAAAACATTTAATCTCCTGTATTGACGAAACTGTAAATGTTCACTTATCTCCACATTTAAGCTAAAACACCAGAAAACACTTTCTTTCAACACTTTCTGGTGTTGTCTTCAACACCAGAAAGCTAGATTAGTACCTACATAAACGCCTCATAGTGCGTAAGTATATAACGTAATGCTGTACAGGTCAATACAAATAAAATGCACACAGGAATAGAAACATTACATTTAGGACAACTCAATTTTCCAACCTGATATTGGAAATCAACTTACCCCCGATCTGCAGAGCTGGTACCTCCAGCAGCAGCTACAACCGCAGCGGAAGATGGTAGAGACGTAGCTGATGTCTGCCTCGGGAGTCCTGTCTCCCAGGCTATCTTCTTCTTCCTCCTCTTCCTCTCCTTCTCCCTCTTCCTCCTCCTCCTCCAACTGGCTCACAGTTTCGTCGCTATAGTCAAACACCAGGCCATCATCGCGCACGAGTACCAGTTCTCTTCCGTCGTCGTGCACCAAGTCCAGGTCTCGGCTATTTTTGCGTACCAAACATAAGTCTCGGTTGTTTTGGCACCTCAGGCTAAGATCTTGACTATTTTGGCGTACTAATTCCAGGTCTCGACTGTCCTTGCGCACCAAGCCCAGATCTCGACTGTCTCGGTGCACTAGTCCAAGATCTCGGCTATCTTGGCGTACTAGTCCAAGATCTCGGCTATCCCGGCTATCTTGGCGTACTAGTCCAAGATCTCGGCTATCCCGGCTATCTTGGCGTACTAGTCCAAGATCTCGGCTATCTCGGCTGTCCTGGCGTACTAGTCCAAGATCTCGGCTATCTCGGCTGTCCTGGCGAACTAGTCCAAGATCTCGGCTATCTCGGCTGTCCTGGTGAACTAGTCCAAGATCTCGGCTATCTCGGCTGTCTTGGCGAACTAGTCCAAGATCTCGGCTATCTCGGCTGTCTTGGCGAACTAGTCCAAGATCTCGGCTGTCTTGGCGAACTAGTCCAAGATCTCGGCTGTCTTGGCGAACTAGTCCAAGATCTCGGCTATCTTGGCGAACTAGTCCAAGATCTCGGCTATCTTGGTGAACTAGTCCAAGATCTCGGCTATCTTGGCTATCTTGGCGTACTAGTCCATGATCCCGGCTGTCTTGCCGTACTAGACCAAGATCTCGGCTGTCTTGACGAACTAAGGCAAAGTCCCGACTGTTCTCGCGCACCAAACCAAAGTCCCGACTGTTCTCGCGCACCAAACCAAAGTCCCGACTGTTCTCGCGCACCAAACCAAAGTCCCGACTGTTCTCGCGCACCAAACCAAAGTCCCGACTGTTCTCGCGCACCAAACCAAAGTCCCGACTGTTCTCGCGCACCAAACCAAGGTCCTGACTGTTTTCACGCACCAAACCCAAGTCTCGACTGTTCTCACGCACCAAACCAAGGTCCTGACTGTTCTCGCACATTAAGCTCAGGTCTCGACTGTTCTTACGCACCAAGGCCAGGTCTCGACTGTTCTTACGCACCAAGGCCAGGTCTCGACTGTTCTCGTGCCCTAAACCATGGTCCTGACAGGTGTCACGCATCAGTCCCAAGTCTTGACTGTTTTGACGTGCAAGCTCGCGGCTATTTCGGCGTACGATGACCTCTCGGCTGTTTTGACGAACCCTTCCCAAGTCTCGTCCACCATCTATTACAACCCCGAGGTCCTGATTGTTTTCTAGCTCGAGGTCCAGGTCTCGGCCGTCCTCGTACCCGAGGACTCTCTCTTCCTGGCACATATAGTGACAAGGCGGTGGTGGAAACGTAATCATTATGATGGAAACGACTTCAGTGATGTGACAGTGTTATGTAGATTTGCTTCTCCTTTCACTGCCTTATTCAGCACTTCATTCACTGCTCTATTAATAGCACCTTTTCTCCTTCATGGAAGAAATGGGAGGAGAGTTTGGGAGGGTCTCTTTCCGTTCCTGATAACTAACGAAATTTTGCTTTCACACACCTATCTGTTTGTCCGTCACTGTGGTCTCAGTGGAAGAGAAGACAGGTCTGTGGTCTCTTGGTGAGACCCACTTGATACCTGAGAGACTGGTCACGGCACTGAGGTATGTGAGAGACCTGAGGCAGTGATCTCGGTGCTGAGTATACGCGAGAGACGAGCTAAGGCAGTAGTCTTGATACCGTGGTCTGCAGGAGACACACTTGAGGAAGGGGTCTCAGTGTGAGGTACGGGAACTAAGGCGGTAAACTTGACGCTGTCTCATCGCAAGAGACACTTGTGGAGGTTGTCTCAGTGTGATGTTCGCGAGAGACAACCAAGGCAGAAGTCTTGGCGCGGTCGTCCGCAAGACGATCCCCTTTAACTAGCAGTTACTTTTGCCTGTAAATCATACATTACCAAAGTATACACACTAACAAGCACAAACAAATACACAAACTATTCATCATGATTCCCAGGTGGATAACAGATGATGTCGGTGAATGGAGGAAAAGGGAGGGGGAAAAGGGAGAGAAGAGAAAGAAAAAATAGGGAGGAAAAGTGAATTATTTTTTATCTTTTGAAAGTACAAAAATAAATTAGTTCTCCACGGATTTTTCATATATTTATATATTTTTTTTTACTTAATTATTTCATACGAATTAGTGGTATTAGAGACGAGCCGTGTTTAAGCGACAGACTTCACGCTGCCAAGCATGACTGACACACGCGGGTCGTAGTCCGCAGCTAGTGTCCGGGGGAAGCCATTCACCTGGACTCCGGGAGACACGAACCCTGGACTCCACGTGTGTGAGGCCGAAGCTCAACCAACGTTCGTGTCCATGGGATTGTCACATCCGTGTCACTGCCTCTCATTGACACGTCTCTGGAGGACAGTGACCAAGTTATGAACACGATGTGACAGTGACGAGTGGCGTCATGATACAGCAGTGCAACCCGTTCTCGCAAATTTAATAAGTCAATATTGACTTATTAAATATGTGCATAGGTGACATACTTAACATAATAGATACCCTTAAAAAGATTCATAGAAAACATCGACCTTACCTAACCTTGTTAGTATCTTAAGATAAGCATCTTATTGCTTCGTAATTACAATTATTACCTAACCTATAATAGGTATAGGTTAAGTAATAATTGTAATTACGAAGCAATAAGATGCTTATCTTAAGATACTAACAAGGTTAGGTAAGGTCGGTGTTTTCTATGAATCTTTTTAAGGGTATCTATTATGTTTAGTATATCACCTATGCACATATTTAATAAGTCAATATTGACTTATTAAATTTGCGAGAACGGGTTGCATGTGCACAGATCCTTAACTGCTTTTACATACAGTTGGACAATCATGTTTTCAATCATCAAATAGGGCGCGACGTGAGGAGTCCAACGATACTATGACACCCGTCTTACATCATCTGCGGAAGATGCTCTAACAGATCAGCTAATAGAATACACAGCATTCAGCTTTGAGGCAAAGCATTAATAGAGAAGAGGTAGTTTGAGGCATCTCACCAGGTCAAATCCCCTCAAGCATCAGGCGATACGACGGTCCCTACCTTCTGGAAGATTCTGTCGCTCAACCGTTAGGGAAATTTCCAGTTAGTCAAGCTCCTGTAGAAGTCTCCACTCCTGTTTCTCGACTCGACCAAGGAAGAAAAGCAAGACTAACCACCTGACAGCTATTCAAAGTCCTCAACCGCTCATCACGTGTTATCAACGTGCGTCCAACACAACCACCACGTTGTGCTCTCGTTGTAGTCGAGTCAATAGAGAAACTTATAGAAAGTGAAAGACAATATCATATAACCCATGTGAGGGAAATTAATGGCAGTAGTAATGGGCTCTTAAATCCCTTATTATCTCGGTCATCCTTAATATACCAAGTCATATAAGTGCACAGCCAACTATATATATATATCTCTTGCGAACAAGCCTGAATGGTCCCCAGGACTATATGCAACTGAACTTATATATATCTGTTATATGTATAGCCTGTGTGGTATCGCCCAGTCAACTGTGTCTCATCACAGGATCACACATTTAGGGTCATTCGTGACCAAGTGTTCAGTGTCATATTATTTACAGTGTCGCGTAATTAATTATTTCACCTTGGACGGAGTCTGTCTGTCTCGTCTGGTACTGTGTAGATTATTGTGTGTTGTCTACCTGCTAAGTGGTTAGTGGACCAGTTATCTGACATTATTATCTAATAATGACATTATTATGGTCATTGTTAGTGTCTTGGTGACCTATAAGTGTCATTTGATATTGTGCATTCTCCTTCAGTGGTGACTGAGATATCATTGTTGTATACTTTGATGATAATACACTTTGAGAGATATACACCTGTATGTCACTCACGTTTTCCACCTGACAAATGTGTTATAAGTATACTGCTGTATACTAGTCGACTCCCCCTGTGTATGCCAGTGACAAAGAGTAAGAATGAGTAAGAATGACTCTTATTAATGACTCTTGACACGATGTCAAGGATGGAGCTGCTTCACAGCCTTGCCAATTATGGATTTGATGTATGACTCCACAAGCGTTCTAAGCCCTCCAGCAGGTAGCATTTGGGCATTTGGACGACGCCCCATCACACAAGACTCTACCAAGTCAAGCCTGGCCTCGGGCTTCTTAGGGAGTAGAAGAACTCCCAGAACCCCATCAACCAGGTACATTCCAGGTAGCATAGCGGAAGATATGAGTCCTTCAAGGAATGATATCTTCTCCTCATTCCAGGACTTCAAGGACAATTGAAGCAAGGAAAGCAAGGAGCAATTGTAGATCCTCTTTGAGAAATCAGTCTCGCTAAACTAAAAGCAAAGTAGTGATTTCTTTGAGCAAACTTAAACATACTTTTCAATTGGTTCTTCCTGTGGCTACAGAAAATAGTTACCCATTGGATCACCCCACACAAAAAATACCAATTAGTTTCCATATATGTTTACAATAACTTGATACGAATCTTTTTTATTCAATAGTCTCAAAAATATTTTTAATTTATATTTTTATCTTCTGGGTGAAAATTAGGTAAATCTCAAATTTTCCAGTATTGCTCCTTGTGGCTCCCTCACACTGGCTCCCTGACCATTGTGGCTCCCTCACACTGACTCCCTGACCATTGTGGTCCCTCACACTACCTCCCTGACCATTGTGGCCCCTCACACTGGCTCCCTGACCATTGTGGCTCCCTCACACTGACTCCCTGACCATTGTGGTCCCTCACACTGGCTCCCTGACCATTGTGGCCCCCTCACACTGGCTCCCTGACCATTGTGGCCCCCTCACACTGGCTCCCTGACCATTGTGGCCCCCTCACACTGGCTCCCTGACCATTGTGGCCCTCACACTGTCTCCCTGACCATTGTGGCCCCTCACACTGGCTCCCTGACCATTGTGGCCCTCACACTAGCTCCCTGACCATTGTGGCCCCCTCACACTGGCTCCCTGACCATTGTGGCCCTCACACTAGCTCCCTGACCATTGTGGCCCTCACACTGGCTCCCTGACCATTGTGGCCCCTCACACTGGCTCCCTGACCATTGTGGCCCTCACACTGGCTCCCTGACCATTGTGGCCCCTCACACTGGCTCCCTGACCATTGTGGCCCTCACACTAGCTCCCTGACCATTGTGGCCCTCACACTAGCTCCCTGACCATTGTGGCCCTCACACTAGCTCCCTGACCATTGTGGCCCTCACACTAGCTCCCTGACCATTGTGGCCCTCACACTGTCTCCCTGACCATTGTGGCCCTCACACTAGCTCCCCCATTGTGCCCTCACACTGTCTCCCTGACCATTGTGGCCCTCACACTGTCTCCCTGACCATTGTGGCCCTCACACTGGCTCCCTGACCATTGTGGCCCTCACACTGGCTCCCTGACCATTGTGGCCCCCTCACACTAGCTCCCTGACCATTGTGGCCCTCACACTGGCTCCCTGACCATTGTGGCCCCCTCACACTAGCTCCCTGACCATTGTGGCCCTCACACTAGCTCCCTGACCATTGTGGCCCTCACACTTGCTCCCTGACCATTGTGGCCCTCACACTAGCTCCCTGACCATTGTGGCCCTCACACTAGCTCCCTGACCATTGTGGCCCTCACACTGTCTCCCTGACCATTGTGGCCCTCACACTGACTCCCTGACCATTGTGGCCCTCACACTGGCTCCCTGACCATTGTGGCCCCCTCACACTAGCTCCCTGACCATTGTGGCCCTCACACTGGCTCCCTGACCATTGTGGCCCCCTCACACTAGCTCCCTGACCATTGTGGCCCTCACACTAGCTCCCTGACCATTGTGGCCCTCACACTAGCTCCCTAACCATTGTGGCCCCTCACACTGGCTCCCTGACCATTGTGGCCCCTCACACTGGCTCCCTGACCATTGTGGCCCTCACACTAGCTCCCTGACCATTGTGGCCCTCACACTAGCTCCCTGACCATTGTGGCCCTCACACTGGCTCCCTGACCATTGTGGCTCCCTCACACTAGCTCCCTGACCATTGTGGCCCTCACACTAGCTCCC